AATATACAAAATAACGACTTCGCTTCCTTACCAACACTTGGGACCCAAACCTCACCACACATTACAGGTGAGGACGTCAACTCGGTGGCCTCCTCGCCCACACAGCACGACAGTGTGTTACCAAATGTCTTACTCTGTGTTTGATAGACCCCCATCTCCTTTGAACCTTTTTCAGTTTAGTCTTATGCTTGACTAGATATGGATTCCATGCTAGAGCCGCATACTCCAGGATTGGTCTGACATATGTGGTATATAATGGTCTGAAAGATTCCTTACACAAGTTTCTAAAGGCCGTTCTTATGCTGGCCAACCTGGCATAGGCCGCTGATGTTATCCTCTTGAAATGGCTTCAGGGGACAGGTCTGGCGTGATATTAACCCCAAAGTCTCTCTCTCTGACTCTTGAAGAATTTCATCTCCCAAATGATACCTTGTATCTGGTCTCCTGCTCCCTATACCTATCTTCATTACATTACATTTGCTCGGGTTAAACTCTAACAACCATTTGTTGGACGATTACTTTAATTTATCCAGGTCTTCTTGAAGCCTCAAGCTGTCCTCCTCTGTCTTAACCCTTCTCATAATTTTGGCATCATCAGCAAACATTGAGAGGAATGAACCTATACCCTCTGGGAGATCATTTACGTATATCAGAAACAGGATAGGTCCGAGTACAGAGCCCTGTGGGACTCCACTGGTGACATCACGCCAATCTGAGGTCTTACCCCTTCACAGTAACTCTGCTTTCAATTGCTTAGGTACTCCGTTATCCACTGGAGCACCTTACCAGTTACTCCTGCCTGTCTCTCCACCTAATGCACTCTCCTCTTATTGGGTAGTGTGCCATCAATGCGAGTGATGGATGGGTGTGGGTCTGTGTGTACTCACCTAGTTATGCTTGCGGGGGTTGAACTCTGGCTCTTTGGGCCCGCCTCTCAACTGATTCCCCTACCCCCCAGGAAGCAGCCCGTAGCAGCTGTAACTCCTAGGTACCTATTTACTGCTAGGTGAACAGGGGAGTCAAGGTGAAAGAAACTCTGCCTATTTGTTCCCCCCCCCCTCCATCGGGGATCGATCTCCGGACCCTAGGACTACGAATTCCGAGCGCTGTCTACTCAGCCGTCAGGCCCCGTCAACCACTCCGCGAGCGTGCGCGTGTGTACGACAACGAATATATATATGACGTTAACACTACGACGAATAGTAGCCGCAACAACAATTATATTAACCTTCGCTACCAACGCTGAGTACCATTAACTACCACCACCCACCAACAACAACCACTACCATTAATCAACACTACCCACCACCACCATTAACCACCACTACCCACCACCACCATTAATCAACACTACCCACCACCACCACCATTAATCAACACTACCCACCACCACCATTAACCACCACTACCCACCACCACCATTAACCACCACCACCATTAATCAACACTACCCACCACCACCACCATTAATCACCACTACCCACCACCACCATTAATCACCACTACCCACCACTACCCACCACCACCATTAATCAACACTACCCACCACCACCATTAATCAACACTACCCACCACCACCACCACCATTAATCAACACTACCCACCACCACCACCACCATTAATCAACACTACCCACCACCACCATTAATCACTACCCACCACCACCACCACCATTAATCACCACTACCCACCACCACCACCATTAATCACTACCCACCACCACCACCATTAATCACCACTACCCACCACCACCACCACCATTAATCACTACCCACCACCACCACCACCATTAATCACCACTACCCACCACCACCATTAATCACCACTACCCACTACCACCATTAATCAACACTACCCACCACCACCACCACCATTAATCACCACTACCCACCACCACCAGCACCATTAATCACCACTACCCACCACCACCATTAATCACCACTACCCACCACCACCATTAATCACCACTACCCCCCCCTCCACCACCATTAATCAACACTACCCACCACCACCACCATTAATCACCACTACCCACCACCACCATTAATCACCACTACCCACCACCACCATTAATCACCACTACCACCATTAATCACCACTACCCCCCCCACCACCATTAATCAATACTACCCACCACCACCACCATTAATCACCACTACCCACCACCACCATTAATCACCACTACCCACCACCACCATTAATCACCACTACCCCCCCCACCACCATTAATCAACACTACCCACCACCACCACCATTAATCACCACTACCCACCACCACCATTAATCAACACTACCCATCACCACCACCATTAATCAACACTACCCACCACCACCCAGCTCTCTATTTTGTGGCGGGGAGGGGGGACGTGGAGGGGGAGGGGGTAGGGGGTGGCGGAGGGAGGTAAGGGGGCGGGGGAGCGCGGAGGGGGGTAAGGGGGATATTCACCATTTACGGAGCAGCATTACCATAAATAACACCACCTCCCCGCTCACGCCAGACATTACCATCAAATATTTAACTAGTCGCCATGTTCCCCGTCACCACGGTCGCTATGGTGGTGTGGTGGTGACCCTCGGTGCTGGTGTCCTCCGCTTCCCACTCCACTACCCCCTCCCTTCCTGCTACGAGTCTTCCCGCTGCGAGACTTCCCGCTGCGAGACTTCCCGCTGCGAGACTTCCCGCTGCGAGACTTCCCGCTGCGAGACTTCCCGCTGCGAGACTTCCCGCTGCGAGACTTCCCGCTGCGAGACTTCCCGCTGCGAGACTTCCCGCTGCGAGACTTCCCGCTGCGAGACTTCCCGCTGCGAGACTTCCCGCTGCGAGACTTCCCGCTGCGAGACTTCCCGCTGCGAGACTTCCCGCTGCGAGACTTCCCGCTGCGAGACTTCCCGCTGCGAGACTTCCCGCTGCGAGACTTCCCGCTGCGAGACTTCCCGCTGCGAGACTTCCCGCTGCGAGACTTCCCGCTGCGAGACTTCCCGCTGCGAGACTTCCCGCTGCGAGACTTCCCGCTGCGAGACTTCCCGCTGCGAGACTTCCCGCTGCGAGACTTCCCGCTGCGAGACTTCCCGCTGCGAGACTTCCCGCTGCGAGACTTCCCGCTGCGAGACTTCCCGCTGCGAGACTTCCCGCTGCGAGACTTCCCGCTGCGAGACTTCCCGCTGCGAGACTTCCCGCTGCGAGACTTCCCGCTGCGAGACTTCCCGCTGCGAGACTTCCCGCTGCGAGACTTCCCGCTGCGAGACTTCCCGCTACGAGACTTCCCGCTACGAGACTTCCCGCTACGAGACTTCCCGCTACGAGACTTCCCGCTACGAGACTTCCCGCTACGAGACTTCCTGCTACGAGTCTTCCTGCTATGAGTCTTCCCTTTACTGTTATCCTCCTCATCATGATAACACCCAAGGCAAAAGATCACATACGCACGTACGCACACACACCCACCCACCCACCCACCCCCACACACACACACACAAACACACACACACACTTAAACAGTAATGATCCCTCAAGGATTTAAACCTAAGCGGCCAAGGTCACAGAATCCTTGAGCAATAATTCGAGTTTACAGATGTAAAACTGATTTGGGGCCCATGCAAGCCTTGCCCCCGCACACTACCATCACTATTCCACCTAAAAATTAACGTTCCCAAATGGGCACCAAGTTTCTGTCTACTCCTGGCCTGTAAGGACGCCTGAGTTAGTACGATAGATTATTGGGCAGCGAGATCTTGACATTGGGAACATGGAGTTTAGTGGGACTTCTGCTTGATGATGTTCTGGGAGTTGTTCTACTCCCCAAACCCGGCCCGAGGCCAGGCTTGACTTGTGAGAGTTTGGTCCACCAGGCTGTTGCTTGCAGTGGCCCGCAGGCCCACATACCCACCATAGCCCAGTTGGTCCAGCACTCCTTGGAAAAAAACTATCTAGTTTTCTCTTTGAAGATGTCTACGGTTGTTCCCGTAATATTTCTTATGCTCCATACTGGGTCCCAGCACCTGGATCATAGCTCACTATAATCTCCTGCTTTACCTAGACACCGAGACGCTAAGGATCAAACTCCAGGAAATTGGATGGAGTTGGGATCCAACAAGGTTCTAAAGCTTCTCTGATGTCCGGGGCTTATATAATGTCCCGAGATAACCAGTATTGCTGGCTTCTGCAGTTACTATATTTACTCATGTTCTTAAGATATCTTCATAATGAATCTAAAGTTTGCCAGTGTAATCCCCTGAGATGGGGGATTTTTATGTTGACTAGACCACACACTAGAAGGTGAAGGGACGACGACCTTTCGGTCCGTCCTGGACCATTCTCAAGTCGATTGTACTTCAGCCACGTTACTGTGACTCATCGCCTGCATGGGGATTTTTTAGTATCAAGATGGTAATTCTTCACTCAAAGAATGAAGGATTACATAGATCACTATGTAATCCTTTATATCGCCTAGGGGTAGCAGCGTAGATACAGCCGTACGTATGCATAATACTACTACTAATAATAATTAATAGTTTCGTCATATCAGTGTCAAACTCATCACGTGTGTATACGTGTTACAATGTAGTAAACTCTGAAGCACATGCCAGTGAACAATGTGCAGGATATCAATGTGCAGGATATCAATGTGCAGGATATCAATGTGCAGGATATCAATGTGCAGGATATCAACGTGCAGGATATCAACGTGCAGGATATCTTCACATCTCTAGGAGAGATGTGAAGAACAATGTACAGGATACTACAAGTCCGTCCGGAGTTGCAGGCCGCGGCTCGTTACCCGCAAGGATCTCTCCTCATACAGCGAGAACCTTGCAACACATCCTACAACATCCCGAGACGGCCACATCCTCCCACCCTCCATCTTGCACGAATCACCACGACGCCGCTACACATGTACACGTCACCACGACGCTGATATACGTGCATGTACGGCCTATTTCCTGGACACACGAGCCGCACGTCCCGTCCGTATATGGCCGCTGCCACCGTCTAGACGCACGTAAATCCCGTCAATGTTCCTTGACAGAGGTGTTCGGGCCGACGCAACCAATCACAGGCATCAGGCAAGACTGGTAAAACTCCCCCAAAAGTCTGAACTTTTCAAACCCCTCCTCCCCCCCCCCTCTGTGACTGATAAGATAAGGGCATCAGGGAGGGTTAGTTGTGCTCCTGAAGAGGGAGAAGGGGGCAAGAGGGAGGTTAAATAATCTGTATACAAGGCAGAAGTTCTCGTAGTCGACGTGTATCACTCTCACCCTAATGGCTATGGTCGTGTGAAGCCGTCGTGCGCTACATGGTATTGTAAGGAGTATGTATTATCACCCAACTTCCTAGTTATGTAACGCACCCTCCACGCGCATATATATATATATATATATATATATATATATATATATATATATATATATATATATATATATATATATATATATATATAACGGGTGCGGCGCTCCGGGAATACAATGATACACAAGGCTATGGTGACGACAGTGACCTATAATGAGAAACATCAGGGGGTAGTCACTGTCCATTGACAGTTCCACACACACCCAATAAGAGAGCAGTTGCCGGTTCACTACTAATTTGTCTCTACACATGTGGCTTACGTCAGAGGTGTTATACATATATATATACCAGAAGGAATCAAACGCACTACACACGTGAATTATTCTACTGTCAACAGTCTGTATATTTGTCGTGGTCAACACGGTCATCTGACTGTCGTAATGCAGTCTGTCTCCACTTCCTGTCATACAGCAAGTTGTATGAGTACAGGAAGTAGTAGTGAAGAGGACAAAAGGAAATATATATATTATATATATTATATATATATACATATATACATACATACACACACACACACACACACACACACAAAGGACCTCACTGCCAAGTGGACAGTGCCCCCGGGTGGCCGTGTTTCAAAGAGCCCGGGTTTCACACCCGGCCAAAGCAGAAACAAATGGCCACTTTCTTTCACGTGATGCCACTGTTCACCGAGCAGTAAATGGGTACCTGGGAGTTAGCTACTACAGGCTGCATCCTGTTGATGTGTGTGTGTGTTAGAGAGGAATATATATAAATATATGCAGTAGATATGATAGAGGTGAAATGGGTTGGGAGTCAACACATTAGACAACCGACAGTTAGAAAGGCGGGATCCAAGAGCTAACAACTCTTGGATCCCGCAGGCACAAGCGGTAAATACACACACACACACACACACACACACACACACACACACACACACACACACACACACACACACACACACACACACACAAACACACACACACACACACACACCAGTAAATAAACTCTCACACTCCCTCCCCATCTCCCACAGACGTACGTCTTGAGAATAAATGGTTGCTACATAACCTACCCTGAGCCCCCAAGACCAAGCCACTAACTCCCACAATATTTACACCCACCAACATTTACACGGCTGTATTACGTGATATTGCCCTCGGCAACCTTGAAACCCTCTTCCAGACCCCCCAACATTACTACATGTAATGTTAAATATGTATTCCGTGTTCAAGAACCTGTGAAATGAAACTTAGATAAGCTCAGGCCAGCACCATCATACATCCGTTTTCTTTAGATCTATCATCTCCTCCCGACTCTTAAGTCACCCCTTCATGCCGTACTTTGCTCGCTTAAATTGAAATGTTTATTGAATTCTCTTTTAGTTTAGTCTGTGTCTGACTAGTAAAGTAAATAAATAATTATAAGACGTGCCCGAAGCGCCGTGTAACAATTTCGTTTAATTATTATTATTATTGAAAAAAATCCGTAGAAACCGTGTTGAGGATTCGAACTTACGCGCTGGATATTCCCAGTCACACGCCCCAGACAACCAGGCCACGACATGGTCAACACGTTACAACGACGGTCTCGCTTTTCTGCAGGTCGGCGTTCAATCCCCGACCGTCCAAGTGGTTATAGGCACCATTCCTTCCCCCTCGTCCCATTCCTTATCCTTATCCCTTTTCATATATAGTCGTACTATGGCTTGGCGCTTTCCTTCCTGATAGTTCTCTTCCCTTCCCCTGGGGGTTCAACTGCACCCTTGAGGATTCACGAGGAATATCTCGCGGGGTTCGAACCCCCACGGTCCCCACGCATTTTATCATTGATACGTCATGTTAGTGTGATTTTTCTGTATCAATATTTCTCTCTGTATCAGAACAATTTTTCTGAAGTTGGGGCATAAGGTGAGGGAGCACTCTGCCCTTCACCCTGAGTGCTTGTGGGGCATGCGTAAGGTGAGGGAGCACTCTGCCCTTCACCACGAGTGCTTGTGGGTCATGCGTAAGGTGAGGGAGCACTCTGCCCTTCACCACGAGTGCTTGTGGTTCATGCGTAAGGTGAGGGAGCACTCTGCCCTTCACCACGAGTGCTTGTGGGTCATGCGTAAGGTGAGGGAGCACTCTGCCCTTCACCACAAGTGCTTGTGCGTCATGCGTAAGGTGTGGGAGAACTCTGCCCTTCACCCAGAGTGCTTGTGCGTCATGCCTAAGGTGTGGGAGCACTCTGCCCTTCACCCAGAGTGCTTGTGCGTCATGCGTAAGGTGTGGGAGCACTCTGCCCTTCACCACGAGTGCTTGTGCGTCATGCGTAAGGTGTGGGAGCACTCTGCCCTTCACCACGAGTGCTTGTGGGTCATGCGTAAGGTGAGGGAGCACTCTGCCCTTCACCCAGAGTGCTTGTGCGTCATGCGTAAGGTGAGGGAGCACTCTGCCCTTCACCACAAGTGCTTGTGCGTCATGCGTAAGGTGTGGGAGCACTCTGCCCTTCACCCAGAGTGCTTGTGCGTCATGCGTAAGGTGTGGGAGCACTCTGCCCTTCACCACGAGTGCTTGTGCGTCATGCGTAAGGTGTGGGAGCACTCTGCCCTTCACCACGAGTGCTTGTGGGTCATGCGCAAGGTGAGGGAGCACTCTGCCCTTCACCACGAGTGCTTGTGCGTCATGCGTAAGGTGTGGGAGCACTTTGCCCTTCACCCAGAGTGCTTGTGCGTCATGCGTAAGGTGAGGGAGCACTCTGCCCTTCACCACGAGTGCTTGTGGGTCATGCGTAAGGTGTGGGAGCACTCTGCCCTTCACCCAGAGTGCTTGTGCGTCATGCGTAAGGTGAGGGAGCACTCTGCCCTTCACCACGAGTGCTTAATGGGTTTACTCCCACTAGCGACCATTCAACATTACTGTATTAGACAAAAATAAAATGGTCTTTCAAACTCGTTATCTTTATGTAAGGATAATCTGGTGATCAGCCTTGACCTGTAACTAATCAGCGAGCGCCCTTCAGTCCATTTTGCACACCACATGACTTTAGCAAGTTGTAGAAGACTTTTATTTAAAGGCAATCTTTCAAAGTTAATGTTGCCATTTATTTCATCATACACTCTACAGGTATTAATACCGAGGATCAACATCAAATCCAATGGCCACCCGCCTCCCACCAGCACCCTAAATTGTAACCATAAAACAATTCGAAACTGTAATACAATGAGGCTTGGCGCCCTATCAGCTGAAGGCAGACCTTATCATCACTCATTATAGTGTTAATTGCCTTCTTGATAAATGTCAGGGCATCAATATACAACTCAGCGTATTGGTATATCTTCCTCCCCTTGGTATATCTTGGCTGTGATATCAGGGGTTATGCTGTGTTAGCAGCAAGGGGTAAGGGATGCAAGAAGTAATGGAATACAACAGACAAGCGAGGTATGGAGAGAGGGTCTTATGATACAGCCCCTCGGCTGTATCATAAGCCCTGTATCATAAGCTGTATGATACAGCCCCTCGGCTGTATCATTATGGGAGAGCTCTCATAACACAACGAGCAATCGTCAGTAAAACAATATCATGAAATATGACAAGTCAACATTGCAGTAATATCGTCAATGAAAAATAAATATATACTCAATACTGAGTTATGTCATATTGCCAGGTCAGAAAAACACTGCCACCGTGTTTTACAAACAAATTAAAACAACGAAGGCCAGACAAAAATAATATATAAAAAATCAAAATCAAGGACGAAGTTGACGTTAAACAAGTGACGTAAAATCTGATATTGCAGTATTGATAAAGGTCAGAGCTGGGAACGTGAGGAGATGCACAGGAGGGGGAAGGTAGTCCATGAACTGTGCTTGTTACCGCGTATAACACGGTGTTACCACCTGTAACACCGTGTTACATACTGCTCATAAATTTTAATAACCTTATTGTGACAAAGGAAGCACTCGGCACTCCATGTTGTGAGCCAAGATCTACCTTTGTGCAGACGAGGAGTCACAATAACGTGGTTAAAGAAAGTTGACCAGATCATACACTAGAAGGGACGACGACGTTTCGGTCCGTCCTGGACCATTCTCAAGTCGATTGTCATTCTCAATCGACTTGAGAATGGTCCAGGACGGACCGAAACGTCGTCGTCCTTTCACCTTCTAGTGTGTGGTCTTGTCAAATCTACCTTTGTGTTCGTCCTGGTCTAGTGAACACATCTGAAGTATGTTGACCAAACCACACACTAGAAAGTGAAGGGACGACGACGTTTCGTCTTGAGAATGGTCCAGGACGGACCGAAACGTCGTCTCTTCACTTTCTAGTATGTGGTCTGGCTAACATATTTCAGCCACGTTATTGTGACTCCTCGTCTACACATCTGAAGTAGTTCCCTTCGTTGTTGATAAATTAAGCTGTAAGTAGGTATATGACTCTCACAGCAACATAAGAATAACGGTTCACTGAATGTGGCGTATGACGTCGTATGGGCCAATATCCACCCTAACTCATTAATTGTTATGTTTAGATTACGCTTGAAACAATCCATTGATCCCGGGGTGTATTATGTTATCCGGTAATTTGTACCGTAATCCAACACTTGTATTTGCGTTACAATTAAAATGGCTGCTAAAACACGTTTTATATTTAAGGGGTTAATATGAAAGGATTTAACCAGTATTAATAACATTAACGAGCCCCAACTGACCTGAGATGAACTGTTAGAGGCAACTGTGCAATCCGAGCCTCCACGTCCAGGAAGCCAAGTGGACGAACACTGGAACGATAGCTTTCCT